TGTCTAGTGTTGCCTATCGCCGCTGCCTTTTCCATCGCTTTTGCTTTCGCCACCCACCACTGTTCGCGGTCGTTACGCAGACTTTTTATAAGTCTGCGCCTAAGCTGACTACGCTCTTCATCATGCTCAGGGTCAGGTGGGATGCGTTTACGAGCATCCATCAGTTCGGTGGATGCGACTGAAATCCACGGCTTCATCCTAGCCTCATGGTTTACCTTCTAGCAGATATCACTGCTGTTTCCACAGCTTTTTTGATATCATACCAACCTGCTTCTGGGTGGGAATCGCTTGCATGTTTGCTTAACTCTCTTTCTAGTTGCTCCTGAAATATTTTCTTGGTTTCATTATCATTAAGTAAAACCCTAAGAGGCTTTCTTACGGTGTCTTTCCTACGTCCAGTAAGCCTTAAACAGATACGAGCTCGCACTAGAGCATGATCTGAATCCAAACATGTGCCCCAGAACGAGCGACAGTCTTCTATCGAACCCCTCCATCGGTGGCTGATGGCGATGTGATCTAGTTGAGTCCAACGTTGAGACGACTTCGGGGGTCGCCAGGTCAAAAGATGTTTTTCCTTATGCTTAAAATTAGTGTTTGCTAGAAATAGTTGGTGATCTGAGCACAGTTGCAACAGACGGTCGCCATTGTCTGTTCTTTGAGCCGCGAGACCGTAACATCCACCTAGGTGTCTTTCATTTTCACTCAGTCTACCTACTTGTGCATTGAAGTCACCAGCCATTATAACTATATCAGAGCGCTTAACTTTTTGGAGGAGGTCCGAAAGCTTTCTGTAAAACTCATCTTTTACATCATCTGGGCTGCAGTCAGTGGGGGCGTAGGCTGATATGACGAAAAGGCAACGGCGAGTGTCCCTATCTTTCCGAGTCCTTACTGTCCCGTTTAGTCGGACAGCGCACAATCGACTATCTATTGGGATCCAGTCAAGGAGAGATTGTTCTGCCCTACGACTCAATGCTATGCCTACGCCAGCAAGACCCTGGAAGCAGCATCAGGGCTACCGGATACACGAAGAGTAAATCGAACTGCTTCTTTATTTTGACATGGTGTGGCCAAGTGTATGACGCGACTTGGATCCTGTATGCGCGTTTCCGAGACGCAGCATACATCGATGGCACGAGATTCTAAAGTCCGAGCTAAGGAAGCCTGTCGCCCTATTTGACACAATGTCCGTACATTAAATGCCCCAACATGTAGTCTAGAGCGAGGTTTAAGGAGACCAGGAACGACGTTTCGCGAACTCGTATCGTCTGCATTAGCTGCGCACTGTGATGAATGAATGTGAGAAGAATTAGTTGTGGAGATAAGAGAGGTATTAGGTAATGTAGGAAGGATTTGATTTTGAACAATTTTGTCTCGTGTGCTGTTGCGGGTATGAGGGCGGTTATCACTTCCCGGCTGCCCACACCGTGGAAGGTTGTTTCTTGACGAACCTGAAAAGGAAGATGGATTAGTGTTGGTGCGTGACCGCGGAGTCCAAGGGACAACTGCTTGAGGCCGGTCACGCACGGCCTTTTTATGAAACGTTGTTTTAGGATTAACTCCGTACTTAAAGGCCCTTAGTGGGCACCCTTACCCAAGGAGACGGAAATCCGTGAGTTAGGGGAGGTGTGACATTTTTAGGGCCGACCTTTTCTAACCCTTCCTTCCTTGTGAGAAGGCAGCATCGCTGCAGATGCTGGTTGTCCGAGGGAAACACCTTACTGCTGTCACACCCCTCTGCAGTCAGCAGTACGACTTCGCCCTCAGACCTTGGGTAGCTGCTTTTAGTCTCATCGTTCTCCAATCGACCTGCCTGGCATGGTAGGACCTGCAGGAACATGTGTTCCAGCCAGTATAGCTCGGTTGGGTCATCACGATAGGCAAGCCCGACCACCACGTCAAGGTAGCAGCTTCGGTCGGGTATGAAGCCACCAGCCACTATTACTATGATATAGTAATAGTGGCTGGTGGCTTCAATGCTCAAGTAGGTGGACCGAGTGAAAACAAAAGACACCTGGGTGGATCTTATGGCGTCGCGGCTCAGCGAACAGACAGTCACGACCGTCTGTTGCAACTGTGCTTAGAAAACCAACTATTCCTAGCAAACACTAACTTTAGGCATAAGGAAAAGCATCTTTTGATCTGACGACCTCCAAAGTCGTCTCAACATTGGACCCAACTAGATAATATCGCCATCAGCCACCGATGGAGGGGTTCGATAGAGGACGGTCACTTGGTCTGGAGCACTTGCTTAGATTCAGACTATGCTCTAGTGCGAGCGCCTATTTGTTTAAGGCTTACTGGACGTAGGAAAGACACCGTAAGAAAGCCTCTTAGGGTTTAACTGAATGATAATACAGCTAAGAATATCTTTCAGGAGCAACTAGAAACAGAGTTAGACAACCATGTAAGCGATTCCCATCTAGGAGCAGGTAGGAACGATATCAAAAAGGCTGTGGAAACAGCAGTGATATCTGCTAGTAAGGTAAGCCACAAGGCTAGAATGAAGCCGTCGATCTCAGTAGCACCTACAGAACTGATGAATGTTCGAAAACTCATCCGACCTGGCTCTGAACATGATGAAGAAAGAAGTCAGCTTAAGCGCAGGCTGAGACCACAGCAAACCTTCTGAAAAAAAATAAGACGAAACCGATCACTTCGCAACAGGGTGAACAACTTGCCAGAGAATTAAAAGCCGTCAAATACGTAGAATGTTCGGCGCTTACCCAGGTCAGCTTTTTTCTACTTACTCTATATCATTCAGTTGTTTTTTGACATTTGTTCGATTATTTTCCATTTAATCTGTTAACCTGAGCGATGACTGAAACAGTCAAGAGGTTGTTTCACTTGGTTGTATACTAGATTCTTGTGTTCTAGGCCTAGCCTAGATATGACATCATTGATTTATTCAGCTGTTTCAAAAGCTAAGTGATTCTTTTCTTGAAATGACTAACTCGATTGACTATTTTGACGGCATAAGTCCATTATTTATAATTCCACTTACTGCTTATCACAAGTAACAGGAATAGTTTAATAATTCTGTATAAAAATTGCTAGGTAAGCATGGCAGATCAATAGATGAAATATTGAAACCTCATCATTTGAGGTAGTCGGGACATGTGTTACGTATGCCCAACAGCCGAATGTCTGGCCAAACCAAAACATGGCACAAATCCATGAATTGACTGACAAGGGGACTAAGTCATGTTGATAGGTGTAGACTACCTGGTTGTTGTCCGCGAGACGAAAGTCACCAATGGTTAGAGACCTCGGACGACATGGCTCAAAATTGTTTGCAATGTCACAGGTGCATCCACTCTTTGTGTTCTCTCAAATTCTAACCTTCTGAATTCCTCATCACCCCTCTTTTTTTAAATTTATTACACTGGATTATAATTATTGAATAGTATCTTCGAACCCTAAGCTTGACCATTACCGCTAATTCTTCTACTATCTCCACCACTATGGGATTTGAACTGACAGTTGCTTCTCTGTGATGGTGCGGGTATGGCAACCTGAAATGATGTACGTACGTACGTACGTACGAAGTTCTACGTTGTAATGACTGAGGCAGTTTCAAAGGTATAAGCAGTAATCAGAGGGATTAGGGTTCGGAGATATTATCCAAGTAGAATCTAGTGAAATAAAGCTAAATGAAAAAGATGGAGTAATGAGGAATTAAGAAGTTTCGGATTTGAGAGAACACAAAGGATAAATGAACCTGCGCCGTTGCAAAAGGTTTTAAACCACGTCATTTAGGGTCTCTAACCGTCGATTACTAACATCTCGCGGAACCTAACCAGGTAGTCGACACTTACCAACATGACTTAGTTCACTTGTCAGTGACGTCATGGATTTCTGCCATGTTTTGGTCTGGCCGCCCCATAACACTATCTGAGTTATGAGGCAACATACAGTGATAAACAAGAGTAGAAGACTAGCTTCCGGAAATTTGTACTATACAACGAAAAGCTCTTGATTAATGAACATTGTCATTTTAGAAACTCGAACATATGTATGTTGGGTTATGTTGACTTACTTGATTAGCACGGGGGGGATGAAGAGCTTAAGATAATGAAGCAGCTATGATGATCATAAAATTCACGTATATTTCATTCGTAGCACCCACCCACCCAGTGACCGATGCTAGAAATATTTGAAGTTATTTGTTATCATTTTTATTGTGACCTATGTTAACGCATTTTTAAACATAATTATTACGCATTCAACAGCTGTAACAAGGCATATGCATGTTTTACATGTCACGTCAAAATTGAAACGCCCATAGAAGCAGTAGAGTCAATCACATAAAATAACGGTTGCGATGACTGCAGAACAACATCCTGTCAGTGTTGAAGTATGCGCAACCATAGGTACTTGATTGATGGACTTTAATTGCCTTACTCCCAAATAAAATGTAGTTAAATGCACTTACCAAAGACAATTCAGATATCTGAATGAGTGTAGTAGAGCGCTTATAACAGCAATACAAAGAGGGATAATTTTTAAATTAATCGGGAAAACAATAAATTAGGAAGAATGAAATGAAGCCACGAAGACGTACAGGTATAAAACAGATCTCGACTATTTAGTAGCCAAGAAACACAGTCACTTAATTTTCCTTTGTGACTGCTATCGCTAGGCTATCGTTGAGTCAATCTTACGCAGGCGGACAAATTGCATACCCTAACTTCATTATTCAGACTAGACCATTATTACACATATAAGGGAAATGAGATATGACTCGGTCCATGACACAACGTCATTGGGTATCTAAGCAAAAAGTAGACGATTCTGCATTAATTAAGTTGGATGTTAGACGACTTGGTGTGAAACTATATGAAAAGTAATCTTTAGATATACGGAAATGAGAATTTCCACACTTTTCACCTCTTTGAAGATTTAGGTGATATGTCCCATAGTTTCCCCCGACCGAAAAGAACACTTAGTTGCAAAATTACCTAAATTAACACCAAATTTTCTTGGCCTATGTCACCTACATTTCCGCAAATTTTGCGTTTCTCCATGCATTCTTGTTTAATCAGCAACACGGCCAATTTTAAAAACTTTCAAACGAACACACCGAATATGAAAAAGCAGATTGTTGCATGGAAGCCAAATAAATAATTATTTTTCGAATAAAATTGAATATACAATCCAATATCAACACAATCACTATTAGGCCTATGAAGGGATATAAAATTCTTTTGAATTCGGGGGTACTGAGCTCACTGAAAGTTCGAACATCAAATATTAAAAATAATTCTGTTTTGTTCAACTTTTAATTAAAAACAAGCAATGTAATTGCATATATAAATAGCACCAAATTATGACTTGCCGATTTGGCGTGCTCTTATAGTTCCCGCCATTTTAGTTTCTACATCTATCTATCTAAGGATAGTGCAGAACCATAAATACATAGTGTTTTTCGAAAAAAAGTTATTTCTCTATTTATTTTCTAGATTTGTTAGTTTGTACTAAGGTGATTTTGCAGCGGAAATCAAACTCCGTTGGTACATCTGAAACCTGCTGTGTGTATCTAATGGCTGGTAACATGCAAACGATTAAATGCGTTGTAGTTGGTGATGGAGCTGTCGGAAAAACGTGCTTACTTATATCCTACACTACAAACAAATTTCCGATGGAATATGTTCCGACTGTAAATTCAACATATATATTGTTTTGATGGTTTCAGGTCTTTGATAACTATGCAGTAACTGTTATGATTGGCGGGGAACCTTACACTCTGGGACTTTTTGATACAGCTGGTCAAGAAGATTATGACCGTTTGAGACCTCTCAGTTATCCTCAAACGGATGTTTATCTAGTTTGCTTTTCAGTGGTTAGTCCGTCCTCTTTCGAAAATGTCAGGGAAAAGGTGAGTCTTTTTAAATAATTCTAAGTGCGATTTGCTACGTTTTATAACACTTTTTTGCCGTGGATTCGTTGATTAAACATTCAAAAGCGCACAACAAATTAATTGGAAATAGGCCTAAGGAAATATAAGTCAAACTCTGATGTTCCTTCTGTTTGTTTGTGTGCATATTTTTTGTTTGTTGCTATATCTTCCTTTTTTAAATAAGAAAATTTTTGGATTCGGCAACAAAGTATTGTTGTTTTGGCAATCAAAGATGCTTTTATCAAGTACTCGGCGTTTTGAAAGGCTCTGTTCATTGCCTACATGGTGACCTCAAGTTGTTTGTCTGTTTTCATTTTCAGATTACAGATAATTAGTAGGAATGATCTTTTCCAATCTACAAGCACTTTGTGTTGTCCTTAAGCTATCATATGGGTATTTATTTTTCAAGGGACTCTGCTTGTTTCTTTAATTGTCAATGTGAAATTCTATAGTTGAGACAGAATTGAAATTACCATGCTCCTAGATATAACCATATCCTCGTCCGACTTTTCAGGAGTAGACCTTCTACCAGGAAAATCGCTTGTTGACTTAAAATATGCCGATGACATAGTTCTATTTGGTGAAGACGCTGACAAAATGCAGAGTCTTCTGACCACCCTAAGCAACAATGCAAGCATGTTCGGGATGCGGTTTTCGCCCTCGAAATGCAAATGTTGCTTCAAGATTGGGTTGCATCGGCACCTGAACTAGTGATACGGAGTGAAGTAGTCGAACGTGTAGACCGCTTCACTTATCTTGGGAGTCTCATCAGTGCTGATGGCTTGGTGACTGACGAAATCTCAGCACGGATACAGAAAACTCGATTGGTTTTTACCAACCTGCGTCACTTATGGCACAGGTGAGATATCCGTTTGCTAACCAAAGGACGAGTGTACCGTGCAGCAGTTCGCTCTGTCCTGCTATACGGATGCGAAATATGGCCTTTCGTAATTTACTAGTCTTCGATCATCGGTGTCTCCGAAGCATTGCTCGTGTATCGTGGCACAACCGTATAAGCAATGCTGTTATTAGGAAACGAGTACTAGGTAGGGATGGCAAATCAATGGAAGAAGTAGCGAAACTTCATTATTTGAGGCGGTTAGGACATGTGTTACGAACGCCGAACCACCGACTGCCACGACGAGCTATGTTTTGTGGTGTGGGAGTATGTTGGGAGAAAGTTAGAGGCGGCCAAACCAAAACATGGCACAAATCCATGAATTGACTGACAAGGGGACTAAGTCATGTTGATAGGTGTAGACTACCTGGTTGTTGTCCGCGAGACGAAAGTCACCAATGGTTAGAGACCTCGGACGACATGGCTCAAAATTGTTTGCAATGTCACAGGTGCATCCACTCTTTGTGTTCTCTCAAATTCTAACCTGAATTCCTCATCTCTATCTTTCTCCTTCCAAAGTTATCTCTCTGAATTATACTTTTCGAATCATATCTTTACTCCTTACTGCTAATACTTCTACTATCGCTATCACTCTTGGATTTGAACTGACAGTTACGTCTCTGTGCTGATGTGGTATGGCAACCTGAACTGATGTACTTACGTACGAAGTTCTGCGTTGTACCTGTCTCTGTGTTTCTGTCTTGACTGGTGGTATTGGTTGGCTTTATTTTTTCCAGCACGCTTCTTCGGATCCTTTAGTTGTCCCATTTTTCCTTCTCAGCTTTTTTTTGCTGTCATTACTAAGTTTTCTATATACTTCCTTTTATTAACTTTAATACTCCTCTTCACTTTCTCGCTTACATCTGTGTATTCGACATGTGCCCTTAGTATATCTGCTTAAGTTTGTCTGTTCTGGATTGTTTTCTTATTTTTGAATCTTATCCGGAGTGTTAAGAGTTCCACTCCTTATGATGGTGCTTCTTGTGGCTCAGAACCTCATGATAGGTTTATGTTGCTGCTTCTTTAACAATCCTCTGTCTGTTCTCCGTAATGGTTTCTTCTTTTAGTGGATTTGAATTCGTTGAATGCTTCAGCATCCCGAAAGAAAACTATATAAAACTTTTGATACTGTTTCTCCAGTTATCCAGTATTTGTGCAGTTTTATTTGTACCTAACCATGTTTTCTAAAGCTACAATGCTCTGTTCTGATAAATAACTTGTACACGTCTTGATTGCTTGTTTTTTTTCGATTTTTTGCCATGTTACTGTGTCGCATTGTTTTTGTTAAAAACGGCAGTATGTTATTTATCAGGAAATTTAGCATATCGGTATTATAGTGTTTTACCCTTATGTAAGCTATCTTGTGTTAATTAAAGATGAGTTTCCTGTCGTTTGTTCTCAGTGGGTCCCAGAAATAACACATCATTCATCGAAAGCGCCGTTTATTCTTGTCGGAACACAAATTGATCTTCGTGAAGAAGAGACCACAGCAAACCTTCTGAAAAAAAATAAGACGAAACCGATCACTTCGCAACAGGGTGAACAACTTGCCAGAGAATTAAAAGCCGTCAAATACGTAGAATGTTCGGCGCTTACCCAGGTCAGCTTTTTTCTACTTACTCTATATCATTCAGTTGTTTTTTGACATTTGTTCGATTATTTTCCATTTAATCTGTTAACCTGAGCGATGACTGAAACAGTCAAGAGGTTGTTTCACTTGGTTGTATACTAGATTCTTGTGTTCTAGGCCTAGCCTAGATATGACATCATTGATTTATTCAGCTGTTTCAAAAGCTAAGTGATTCTTTTCTTGAAATGACTAACTCGATTGACTATTTTGACGGCATAAGTCCATTATTTATAATTCCACTTACTGCTTATCACAAGTAACAGGAATAGTTTAATAATTCTGTATAAAAATTGCTAGGTAAGCATGGCAGATCAATAGATGAAATATTGAAACCTCATCATTTGAGGTAGTCGGGACATGTGTTACGTATGCCCAACAGCCGAATGTCTGGCCAAACCAAAACATGGCACAAATCCATGAATTGACTGACAAGGGGACTAAGTCATGTTGATAGGTGTAGACTACCTGGTTGTTGTCCGCGAGACGAAAGTCACCAATGGTTAGAGACCTCGGACGACATGGCTCAAAATTGTTTGCAATGTCACAGGTGCATCCACTCTTTGTGTTCTCTCAAATTCTAACCTTCTGAATTCCTCATCACCCCTCTTTTTTTAAATTTATTACACTGGATTATAATTATTGAATAGTATCTTCGAACCCTAAGCTTGACCATTACCGCTAATTCTTCTACTATCTCCACCACTATGGGATTTGAACTGACAGTTGCTTCTCTGTGATGGTGCGGGTATGGCAACCTGAAATGATGTACGTACGTACGTACGTACGAAGTTCTACATTTTAACTGACTGACAGAATACTTCTGATATAATCATAGGACTCTCCTGCCTTTAACTTCCAAGATCAGCCGTAGAGTTAATCGAAGTTATGCTATTCCCTTCATCATTTTTTACTGTATGAAACCAAGCCACGTTCATTGCTAGCTGTCAACCCACTACAAAGTATGAATCGGCGCTGGCTGCATTTGCATGACACCGTGGAACTAGCGAGTAAAGTCACTTGCAGCAAAGAGCACCTGTGTTAAAGTTTTATAGATGCATAATTTACCCTATCCGTTTTTCCATTCGCATTAGTGTGGAAAGATTGAATAAGGCCATTTTAAAATATACGTGGTTACAAATTGCTGGCTGGGAATCCGTATTTGATGGCAGCATTCAACTTTCGACCATTCAGTGACTTAAAATCATTTAGATAGGGTAGGATATACACCATATATGAGCTACTATTTGAGTTGAAGAATAAGGAATAAGCAAGTGATAAAATGTAAAATAAAAAGGAAATTTACCAAGCAGTTGTGGGTATAACTTCAGCGAATGAAGTTTGAATTAAAAGTAAGGTTTGCCGGTCGTAGTTATCATTAGTTTATGAGCTTGGATACTGGCGGGTGCCTAAACTCAAACAGGTTGTCTACTAAGGAGGCCTTTGATCGAGTTTTTGATATACAGGTCTAATCCATAAGGCATTCGGGCAGCCCGATGGTAGCCAGTGACCGGCAATTCCCTCGTACGCCATTTGTTCCTTTAGAAGTCAGTGAGTAGGACTTTCCTGGTACTGGCTATATTCGCATTGCTGTATGAGTACGTTTTAATAGGGAGAGCAAACTCTCCCTATTGTCGATTGTATTAGTACATTTAAGGGTTGATTCATTGCAATAGACGAACTCGACCACCAAGATAGCAGAGCTAAAACAGGATCTATTTTATCACTGTTGAAGTTCCATTATAAACAATAATAGGTCTAGTCTTAGCTATGACTATCACTTGTATAAATATATGGATAACACTGACTAGCTAAAAGCCATCAGTTTATTATGGATAGTAGAGTAGTGTGTAGTTGACTTATCATTTTTTTAGTTGATTCAGCTATCGTTTCAGCTTATCCTCCAATTCGTAATGAAAAGTGGTTTTCATTGACATGATAACTTATCGTTTCTGAACTCTGTATAATTACTGTCATTTCTATATAATATCAATTTCATCATAGTAAATCAAAGGACGAACAACATAGTCTCAATAAAAATTTCGGTTTGTTTCTCTATTCAGTAATACATACTCACATTTTTAATTGCCGATTAAACTTTCTCACCATTAAAACTAGTTCCCTTCAAACAATGATACTATTAGCTGGGAATGTTTATTTACCTTTCATTAACATACTTTAATTATTGATTTTTCCTATTTCGTTATGTATTACAAATCGTCTTCTTTGTTTGTACAGAAAGGTTTGAAAAATGTGTTCGACGAAGCTATCATTGCTGCCCTGCAACCTCCACCCCCGCGTAAGCAGAAACGTTGTTGTCTGCTGTGAAGAATGAGTTTATTTCCGATCCTTATTGTTATTACTGATTTGACTTGTTATGGAAAATCAGCAAACTTGTTAGTCGGATTCCTGACGAACTGTAATATTATCTGCATATTACCCATATTATTATCAATTATTTTTATTGATATCATTAATAACTCTCACAGTCTCAACTAAAATGTATTCAACAGCGATATGAGTACTTTTAAAAACGTGGCCTTGATGCCTTACTTTTCCCCCCTTGCTTTTTTCTTTACAAAACGGTGATCTTGCTGCTAATTTTAAAAATTTTACTAATAATGCTATTTGTTAAATGACTCTGTGTATCTTCACTGACTTTCATTTATATCGTTTTGTTAGCCCATAATTTGTTTTAAAGTAGCGTTTATTATCAATAGTGATATCATCTGAATTCATACTAGCTATAATGTTGGGTTTGTGTGAAAAAAAGTCCATTTTACAGGTAAATCAGTTCACTAAATCAAGAATAGATAAACGACGTGCCTCACAGAATGATAGTAATAATAGTTTATTATTCTGTACTGTAATATTCTCATATCGGCAACGACAAGTGGTAAGTTTGGGATTACATTAAAAAATACCAATCTTGCAGCACTTCTAAATCTAACTACTAAGTACGTATTGGATCGATTCGAAACTAATATTCAGTCTGGAATGTTTTACAGAACTGAGTTCTCAGGATTTGATGTATCAACTAACTACCGTTTTTAGGCATATAATAGATAATAGTGAGTAGGTTAGCATGTACCAAGTTGTCTTGGATTATATAAACTGTTCGCTCTACGTCGTTGTGCACTGAATTCAAGCAGATGTCGTGAGAGTGGTTTTGGTATGCCTGTTTTTAGGCAGATATGCATCGTCACTTCTGCGCCAACGCTTAATAACTGCAGTTTCTCAGCGTCTTCTGCTTCTCTGACCAAATATCGATCAGCTCTACCAGAGTTCCTTCTCGTCTCGGTTAAGGAGGTGTGCCAACTCCACCACGAATTTCGATTTAGCAGTCTTTTATCCGGGCTTTAATTATATAACATCCTCCATATCGCACCAATTGAAAGCGTTGTTTGAATAAACTCTTCAAACATTCATTTAGGATCGCATCATCCACCTGTGACAGTTCTGAATCATCTGTATGCATAATTGGTAGCCATTGTCACAGCTTGTTAACCATTTGTAGCGTACACATTGGTAGCTCTTATTCACGAGTACTTTTGGCGCCAAAAGTTCCGCTGCACACAGATGATAGCGATCTCCGTACTCACGTAGGTATAATGATGTCCTTGACTAAAAGACAACAGTAATCGTGGATGGTTTCATTTCTTGCCAGCCTCATCGTGCGGTTTAACAACCCATCTTACATGATGCTGACAACACGACCATCCAGATATAATCTTAACGAACTAGAATTGAACCACACTGCCTGCGCGTTCCGGTCTTCGTATACATACATGCCTAAACCTCGAACTACCCACTATGGTGCAAATGCCTCGATATTAAGGAATTGTGGCAATGAAATTTCGAGTAATTATTGGCCCTGCCTTACGCTGTTCTTAGATGTCACATACGGTTTGGTACATGCAATCGATAAAGACCACATGTTATCTTTTACCCCAACCATAACATCAGGAGCTTGAAATTGTATGATAGTCGCCCATGTGTCACCGCCCTAGTACTCCCGACTGTGCCTATCCAGAGAACAACTTATTATGTGCGTAGGTGTATATGAGGCCTTTTTGTTTCTCATTGTAATACTAGTTTACTCTATATATAAATAAAACAATTCAATTTTCAAGGGAAAAATTAGTGCTAAGTAATTTTATAGGTTTCGTTCACTGTTATACAAAGTTTAAACTCTGTACTTTAGTTCGGATAGCGTCATACAGTTTCATACAAAAAATTTTACCTCAATGTCAATTTCATAAATCTGATTTCCGTTACGTGGTTAAATTTATAAATTACAGGTGTTCATATTTTCTTTTATATAATGTTATTTGTCAGTATTCAAGTCGGTATTTACTGTGTCACTGATTTAATTCTATTCACTCATGCCAAATGGTGCTGTCGAATTTATTTGACTAAAGCATTATTGCAATTCAATTATATGCAAATAGTTTACGTAAAAAAGCAGAGATTTGTAGACGTTGTCGGGTATTTCCATAACCCTTTTATCTGAATTGAATTATTCAGTTAGTTTTCTTAAAGTAGTACAAATATACTGACGCAAAGAAAATCATTGAAAACAGGTTAGCGTTGTAAAACTTAAATATATTTTAGTTGCCTGAATTTCAACTATTGGTGCGTAGGATGACTGGAGACTTTGAATGACATAGCTAAGAATCATTCCCGCTGGTCCATGTTCGCTTGCTCTTTGTTCTTTCTTGAAACTTGAGTCCTTAAGCCTCTCTGTATAAATACACATGTTCTATGTTTCACCTGACTGAAGTTCAAAACTCAGTTCATGTGTTAATTCTAGCGTCGTAGTAATCTAAATCCTGGTACACGAATATGTACTAGGTTACTGAAACGCACTTCAGAGCCATAAACAAACTCCCGTTCTACGTTTATGAACACTTTCAAAAAAGTTCATAATTCTAACACTCGAGTCACTTATAAAAACATAACTACTTGGTGTCTAGTCACACCTAACTTCCTACATGGTTGGGATGTGTTCAGTAGTCAGACTTTTTTCCATTTAATTCTTCAATTAGTCTAACATGGCATTGATTATTCCTGCAGAAATTATCCTGTTTTGACTAGTTGTTGCTTACTTTTCATGTTCAAAATTTGTTTCGAAACGATGCTCTACATCCATAAAATTGGTTTACAGATGTTCATAAGGAGATTGCATTTTAAAACTCATATTAAGTGACTGTAGTTTTATGATTCAACTGTACTTTCATCAATTGGTCCACCGATTGATTATAGGCCACAAATAACTTACATTTTAGAGTCTTTAGGTTCTTGTTCTAAAGTTGTTTTATATGTTCTCTTATCTATACTTTAACTCTAAATGACGGGGTATCTTTCAGTTTTATTACTGGAAAAAGCCATAAATCTGTTCCCATAGTTTCACTAAATGACAAAAAAAGAACAAACCATTTTCACTAACATTTTTATTTGAATGCTGCAAATGTTTTATAATCTAGTGTTTTTTTGCTATTTCCATGATATCTTGCATCATTTTTTGACCTAACGACTAAACGGTCCAATATCATATTCGTTATAACTTTTATGAACTCCTAGACCAACTCATCAATAAACTAAGATCGTTTCCATGTCTAATTTTCGTGATGTAGCGTATTTCTGTAACCGACTGTTTAACTCGGGTGTACGAAGTTATTTCACTGGACATAAGAAATTGCTTTTTAAGATTTATTAAAAAATTGAAATGGCTTACCCTCATGTCAGTACTTTTTATTTGACAAAATGTGAAACTATGGCTAAAAAGGCGTTTTTTAATTCTATTGCATTTTTTACCAGCTCATAGTTGTGTGATCTGCTTATTGATTATATTCTGTGTTATGCATTTACGAATTAATCAATAATTTAACTTAACCTGATGTGTATGTGAAAAACTAAACAAAATCATATGTCGAATAATAGTACGTAATTATCGTCTGCTTCAGAAAATCAATGATTGTTTAATTTGCCGGTTACCTATCCTATCTCATACAACATAACGGTTTATAAAAATATGAAACTTTTCATGTTTGGAGTATTATATTTATAAAGTTCCTTCATTAAATGGCCTTGCTGTATTACGAAAAAAATTCCAACTTTAGGAATTCAGTAAAGAAACACTAATAATATCTGCGTTTAGATTTTTAAAAGTGTACATTTTATGTCAAATAAGTGATTCAAAATGCGTCAATATGAACTACTCCACTGAGATGCACTTTAAGAGTTCGTAAAAGTACGAATACATGAATACAACTACACCTTTACTTTAATGGATTGACTGTTCAAGTAGTAAGGTTGTGTGAACTTACAGAAAATGTACTGATTGTATGGAGAATTGACTTAAACTAAATCATCAGACTTTAGAAATTCGTTTCCTTTTTACTTATTTAGATATCACAAATATCATTTTTATTAGAAGTGACTAAATGATTCCTAATTTTAACCAGAAAACGTTTAACTGAATACTTCCCTCACATACTTTTATCATATAATTCTGCCTTTTACAGAAGGTGTAATTAAAACTTTTTATGTGGCATATACATGAGCCAATCAGCGCCTAGTTGTCTTTTTGTCAAAAGTAGTAGATATATCATTAGAACGAATATTAAAGGAATTGTAACTCTCAGTACTGACTTATGAATTGTTATGTATACATATTCTTATTGTCACGTCAATTCGGTCAGCCGGTAGAAAGTCATAATAGTAATAACAAAACATTATTATTATTACGCTGAAATCGTATAATTTTTCAGTCAATTAGAAAATAGATATTCCTAACTGGAATTTTCCCACCACAATGTAATCTTTGTTCTCTGAATATAAATGATGACATTCCTGGTTGCTTAGCTTAGATTTATTCACTTCTCCATTGACTGAATCTATATATATATATATATATATATATATATATAGACAGGTACACTGGAATTAATATTCATTAGAAAAATGTGTGCATTACTTATGTAAAAATCATATACTGTGTGATGAATTTAAGTATACTCAATTATACATAACTAATTAATACTGTGTAAAAGAGTAGTAATTAGTGAGTTGTTGTGATAATATTTTTCAAATATTTTCTAACCTACAACAAGAATAGTTAGACTAACTACTATTGAAAGCAGTTTTCCAATATTTAAATTAAGAAAGGTATGTGAAAATGAAACAGTAGTTGATTTCGATTAATTATTGTGCATTGATACTTCACTAACCTGCGAGATAATTCCATAATGGAATCACTTTTTTTCTGAAAACTTCGTAATCTGAACATAGTTCACTAATCGATCAGCAAAAGAATATTGAAGTTATAAAACAGTTGGAGATATGTAGTTATGATAATATCAATAGTGATTAGCAATTAGGTGAACAGAAATTTACCAGAGTAGACCATAACATTACACAAGAGTGACTATTGAGTTTACTCAATATTTCTGTAAAAGAAGGTTATATATCGTTGTGATATGCACCTAGGTAATTCAAATACCATTGCAAATATGTCATGAGTTAAATTGACTTAATCACGTTCATCTTAGTCAATATTTAGTATAAAACACCAGTATGTTTTAATTAAATTAAGCATGCATGTGAAATTTATATATACGTTTCATTGACTTGAAATACATTATCGAAAGCCTTACTTATGGTATAATTTTAATCAGTCAAGGAGTATTACGAGGTGTATTGAGAAATTTTGTCACTGTTCTTTATAGTTCAAATAGTGTGCAGTAGTGACAGACTTTCAAAGTAGCAAGATAAATTATAA